TTCAGGATTATGTGGTTATTATGGGTGGTAGAGTATGGGGTATTTGAGGTACTGCGGGGTTGGATAGTAGGTAGTATATGCTTGGTAGAGTTATGGTTTTGTGAGTGAAAGATTATGGAGGTTATGGCTGTATGTGGTACATGGTCAAAGTATGATGGAGTGTTTAGGGGGACATTGGAGGCCCTGATGTAATGTGGGGGACTCTGGGGACCCTGATGTAATGTGGGTAACATTTAACTGTCATTTCATGAAATAATTTACGGGGGCGTGTTTAGGGGCAGAATTACGGGTGTAGCAGGGTAGGGGTTGGGTGGGGCAACTGGTGGCGAGTAACTCTTAAGGCCTGGCTAGTAGCTCAGGACTTGAAATTTTAAGCCCTGGTATACAATGTACAGGAAACTCACAACTGTCATTTCTCTTGATTTACACATATTTACACATTTTAAGAGGCAAGAAAACCTCATAAATATGAGATATCTTTTAGACCAGGGGACTCCAAACTGCGGCCCGAGGGCCAGACTTTCTAAGCACTACCTCCCAATGATATGGGGTACTATTCCTCCCACTGACACCAACAATGGTGCACCATTTCTTCCACTTATAGGGTATTATTCCTCCCACTAATACCAATGATGGTAATAGTATTGGTAAAATACTCCTCCTCCTACTGACCACAAACGCTGAAGCCATGTTTATTCTCATTGATGCTGGGCCTGGGACATTTTCTACCCCCACTGGCCACAATCTGGCCCCCATAAAATCTGAAGGACAGTAAATTGTCCCTTTATTTGAAAAGTTTGGAGAAAGAACCCTGTTTTAGACTGTTAAATCCACATGTTAAATTCTAATTTGTACCAATAACATTTCTTGAAAGTGATTGTCTGAAGAATTTTTCCACCCAAAAAAATACAGAAAATGTTTAAATAAAAAAAAAACATTTTTTTTTAGTTTCTGTTATAAAATGTTGCAAACAAATAATCTTTCTTCATAAATTTAGGCCACAATGTCTACAAACTATGGTACATATATCTGAAAATTGATCGATCCTGTATAACCATGTATTGATGGCCTATCTAATTTCTTGATGCCCTAAAATGCCAGGACAGTACAAATAAGCCCCATTAACGACTTGCCTACCAAGCACTTTCACCTCCTTTCTGCCCAGGCCAACTTTCAGCTTTCAGTGCTGTCGCACTTTGGGATGACTATTTGAGACATATAGAGCTTTCTTTTGGTGGTATTTACTCATTAGTGAGTTTTTTATTTTTTGCTAAACAAATGAAAAAAGACCAAGCATTTTGCAAAAAAAATTTGTTTTCTTAGTTTCTGTTATAACATTTTGCAAACAGGTAATTTTTCTCTTTCACTGATGTGCGCTGATGAGGCTGCACTGATGGGCACTGATAAGCTGCACTGATGGGCACTGACAAGGAGGCACTGATGAGGCTGCACTGATATGTGCCACTGATAGGCGGCACTGAAGAGCACTGATAGGCGACACTGAAGGTCACTGATAGATGGCACTGACTGGCAGCACTGATGGGCACTGACTGGTGGCACTGATAGACACTGACTGATGGCAGTGATGGACACTCACTGGCGGCAGTGGTGGACAATGGTGGCAGTGATGGACAATGACTGGCAGCACTGATAGACAGTGACTGCCAGCACTGATGGGCACTGATATGCTGCACTGATGGGCACCGACAAAGAGGCACTGATGAGGCTGCACTGATATTTGGCACTGATTGGTGGCACTGATATACACTGACTGATGGCACTGATGGACACTGACTGGCGGCAGTGATGGACAAGGACTAGTGGCACTGATGGACACCGACTGGCAGCACTGCTGGACACTGATAGGCTGCACTGATGGGCACCAACAAGGAGGCACTGATGAGGCTGCACTGATATGTGGCACTGATAGGCAGCACTGATGGGCACTGATAGATGGCACTGACTGGTGGTACTGATGGGCACTGACAGGTGGCACTGAAAGACACTGACTGATGGCACCGATGGACACTGACTGGTGACAGTGATGGACAATGACTGGCGGCAGTGCTGAACAATGACTGGTGGCACTGATGGACACTTTTGGGGCTGCACTGATGCCCTCTGATGTGAAAAATAAAGTTGTCGATTACCAGTTCTCCTCTCTCCTCACGCTGTGACAACATGAGGAAAGTGCAGCCGATAACTGGCAACTGTCTTTACATTGTGATCTGCTGTGTCATTGGATATAGCTGGTCACGTGGTAAAAGGGTGCTATGATTGGCCCTTTACCATGTCATGTGATCAGCTGTGTCGAAAGGACATAGCGATCACAGAGCTCGCTCTGGAGGATGTTATATGACACAGTCACAGAACTAGACGACTGCACTGTAGCTGTCATTTAGCTATAGCCCGGTCCTCAAGTGGTTATATAAGCCCCTTTTTGGAAAGTAGACAGTCCAAGGTATTTAGTAAGAGGCATGGCAAGTTTTTTGAAGTTGTATGTTATTTTGTGTCACAGTTTTTTGGAAGAAAGAAATGAAGAAATTAAATGAAAATTTTTTTTCAACAATTTTTTTTAACCTCTTGGAGCCGGAAGAAAGCAAATGTGCATCCTCCAGGCGTCTGGGCCTAGACGCCGAGCGGGCGCACATTTGCGTTCTATTAAAAAAAGACATATATGCTGGGAGCACGCGTCCTGTGTGCTCCCAGCACACATGTCTGGTACTCATGGAAAGGTTCCGATCTCCTCTTTCGATCGGGACCTTTCCAGATCACGTGACCGCCGTGACGTTGTTTCATGGCGGTCACATGAGTCTAAACCCCGCCCCACCTCCCGGCTTCTGAAACCCTTAAAGGGCCGGGAGGCGCAATGGGGTTAACAAACATTATATCCTAAACAATGCTGTGCTAGTATATCCTAAAAATCAACCCACCCCCATCTTATATTCACCAAACAACACATTCCCTGAATAAAAAGTAAAAAATTTAAAAATGTATTCATATCCAAAGTATCATGAGACATAAACTGAAATAATCCTTCAAATATAATAATGTGTCTGATGCAATTTCCACCTCCATGCGCCATCAGCCACACTGTGTTATACCACCACCAGGTGTGCTCTCACCTCAACATTTTGACTTCCCACTTAGTGTTCGGTCATATAATGCTTGTGTCCTTTGTGTTGCCATTCATGACAGTTTTGTTTACATGTTATCATGTCTATGATTGGTCATAGTGATCACATGATGAGCAGCGAGGTACCAAGCACTGAGATCCTCTGTGTCCATCACAGGATTGTGCTGCTGCATGCCCCAAGGGGTGCACCAGTGTACATGAGCAGGGTGACAAACAGGCACATTGCTGTGCCTGCTCATGCCATCAGCAGTAAATGTAATACTGCTGACTGACAAGTGGTTAAATTGCACCTGTGCCTAGACTATGGACACAGTAAAATAGCTTTAATACGAACCATCACTGACCTCTCTAGCTGCTTGTATTGTGAAGTTATTAATTCTCAAAACTCACAGTTGGTTTCTAACAGGTTAGAAGCTCTTGCTATGTGCATACCTTAGAACACTGGCAGGCTGCCAAGATTGTGCTCTCTTTTGAAAATAGAAAGATTTCTGTGCCCCTGTTGTGAACTTTGGATATTAATTTCTCCATAATATCTATAGCTACAGAGCTGAATGGGGAGGTTTTTTTACTGCTTGTTCAGAATAGATAATACTTTAGTGTGAAATCTGGGCATACGTTTGCCTGATGTTGTGGAAGAAATAATGATATAGCTATAATAGAGCTTTTCACCATGTGCAAACAGATAGTTTGGAGGTTTTTTTGCATAGTATTCCAGAATTAGGATGTTAATTTCTCAAGCTGACAGATACTTATAATCTTTCTCAAAAGCTTTATAACTTTGATGGTGTTGATGGTGTTACTGATTTCCATCTAACTGCAGTTGCAGTATAGGAAATGGTAGGTTTTTTATTGTCATATCAGTATCACATTTACGCTGATAGCGCTCAACACTCAATACTATGCAATATCTGGCCTGTATGTTTGACTAATATTAGTGGCTTTCTCTCTGCAATCCTCTATGATATCTTCCTTGTACCCAAAAATAATCTCTCTATTGCATTATTTCATTTTTGTTAAAGCTAAATTAAATGCACAATTTGCATGTAACATATATAACCAGTTTAACACTAATCTTCTATTTTTTCACTATTACTTCTATTCGTTATATCTCTTTTTTCTGCTGACAGAACCGTTATAAATCTCCAGCCTCAAGATTTCTGTTTTTAGGTTATACTTGATTTTGCAATATACAAAATAACAGTGTTTGCAAAAAAAAGTAATTAAATGGATGAACACCTTGCTAATTAGAAACCAAGGGGCCTGTTTATTAAGGGGCTAATTGTAGTTCTTTGATATTCATTATGATTATTGTACTCTTCTCTCCAGGATTTCTCCAGAGCTGCACCTATTCTGTGGAATTCACTACACCAAAAAGCAAATGTTGCTTTGATCCTGAAAATATACAGGATTCTTAGAAATGACTAGAAAACCTTTTAAATGTCCAGTTGTAAAAGTATCTTATTGTAATCTACCTACCAACTACCTCATCACCTTTTTTGCATTTATTATTATATCATATCTATTGTGACTATACTCCATCTTGCCAAAGGTATCCCCTTTCAACAACATTTAAGTAAATGATTCATGCAGAATTAAAAAGCTTTTTGACTTGACTTTGTAAGAAACATGCCCTCCTCGTGTCTCATTTACCTCTTTCAACTTTATTTTGTTGAAGACAGGGCATTTCACCTTTTGTTTATTATATTGTATTATTGTTTTATGTTTTTCCCAGACAGTAAAGAGAAAAGGTGGGCTCTATGTAAATAATATACCGTATTTTTCGCTCCATAAGACCCACTTTTTCCCCCCCAAAAATGGGTAAAATCTCTGTACGTATTATGGAGCGAATATGGAGCGGCTGGACCGGTGTTCTTGCTGCTGCCATGTTAGAATACTGGGCCGGCTGCTCGACTCTACTGTGCAGAAGAACCTGCTCCTTGGTCCTACCTGTTCCTCGGTCCAGCAGTGTCCTGCTTTCACAGACCGTCTTCTCTCCCCGGCACCGGCATCTCCAGTGTGGGCACCCGACTGTGACAGCTTGTGGCTTCACAGCCGGGTTTCCACTGCGGATATGTTTGCAGTCTCTGCAGTCTCTGGTCATCTCCTGTACTATGTTCGCAGTCTCTGGTCATCTCCTGTACTGTGTCTGCAGTCTCTGGTCATCCCCTGTGCTATGTTTGCAGTCTCTGGTCATCCCCTGTGCTATATTTGCAGTCTCTGGTCATCTCCTGTACTATATCTGCAGTCTCTGGTCATCTCCTGTACTATGTCTGCAGTCTCTGGTCATTTCCTGTACTATGTCTGCAGTCTCTGGTCATTTCCTGTACTATGTCTGCAGTCCATTGGTTCAGAATATTTTTTTTATTGTTTTCATCCTCTAAAATTTAGGTGCATCTTACGGTCAGGTGCGTCTTATGGAGTGAAACACGGTATTTTATAAAATATATATTAATGAATATAAAAAATATTGGAGCTAAATCCAGAACTCCAAGGTTGTGAAACAAGTTTGCTTCACAAGCTAAGTCCAGCTCTCACAATTTATGTAGCAACCTCCCATGTAGGTGACACCAGCAACAGAGGTAGAAAACCCTCCCAATGTTGACATTAATTTATCAGGAGCCAAAAAACTTTGTGGGAAATGCAAACGTTACTGAGGAAAGTCATTGATGGGCTATCTCTTTTGGCCTATAGATTGATGAGATACAAATTTCTGCAGTGTGTTCAAAAGATAGGTCAACCACTGATTATGCATACTGCTATGGTACTGTATGCTCAGTCAGCTCTCTCTGTTATATAACATTGACCAATCACTGAAACTATACTTTTGGAAGGGCTGGACCTTTAAAAGAAAGCAAAAATGTATTCAGAAATGACTTAAGTTATCTTTAAAGTTAAAAAGGTGTTTATATGAGATACTGTATATTGCATAATAGCAGCAATGTGCATAAGACCATGCAAATCCTATTTTTTCCCATACATATTTCAAAACACTAAAATATGTAATCCTACTTTTATTTGACATCCAGCAAACCACTAAAACATGTGATCCTGCTAGTATTTGATGCCCTGCAAAACACTGAACCATTTGATCGTGCTGATATTTGACATCTTGCAAAACACTGAAATATGTCATTCAGCTCATATTTGATGCAAAATACTAACAAATGAGTACTGTCCATAGTACTTTTTTTATTTGCACTAACATCCAAATTTTCAGGACAACCTGTAAAACACTAAAATGTAATCCTGCTGATTAGCAATGACCATTAACAAATAACAGCCACAGGCTATGAAGGGCCTTACTATGCCTTTTATCCTTGATTTTGAGACAGACTCAAGTGCACTACCTTGCTTGGCAATCACATGGTTAATTCTATCCGAATTACATTTTAAAGCATTTACTTCAATGCTGCTAAGGGGTGTAGCCATCTCCTGGATAATAACAACTAACAAGCCTCTCTTTTTCCTCCACCCCCTCCCAAAAAATCATTTATTCTCCCAGGAACATAGATTTCACTCTGATTATAGAAAGGCAATCAAATCTCGCTGTCAAATTCAGTCCAAAATGAGACTTGTTAGTGATTACCACTGGGGTATTGTTAAATCCCCCTATGCAATTTCAAGTAAGTTGTGTTTTTTTCTCTTAAGGAAATTACTGTATGGAAAAAAAAACTATGAAAAAAAGCAATTTTGCTTCTTTAAAAAAGACAAAGGGCTTCTGTTATTTTTTTTATGAAACACCTATAATTTCCTAGCTTTTTACACATTTTTGTGTGTGCTCCACTCTGATGACTTAAGCAACTCCTTCTGAAGGCAGATGAAAAAAAAAGAGATTTGAAAACTTTCTTACCTATCAATCATGCTTAAAAATAAAATATTCTACTGAGTGGGATTCATATGAGCTGGAAAAAAACGAAATGTGTAGATGCCTTAAAATATCTATAATATGTTTTATTCATGTAGAAGAAAGAAATCATACAGGGTGCAGAAACAAAGAATTAGCTTTCGTGACCAGCCATGTACACATTTTACAGTATTCCTCTGATAAAAGAAATATAGCAGACTAACATTGTTGATCTGACTTCTTTGGACAGTAGATGGGTGAACCTGGGTCCTACTGATTTCCACCGGTTCTTGCTGATGGCACTGCTAGACATCTTCCATTGTCGAAGGGAATTAAACATGATGTGCCTTTAACCTGCTGAATTAAATTTCCTTGGCCGACCACTGCGTCTATGTTTCTCAACGTTGCCTGCTTCTTTGTGCTTCCTCAAAAGAGCTTGAACAGCACATCTTGAAACCTCAGTCTGCTTTAAAATCTTTTCCTGGGAGAGACCTTGCTGATGCAGTATAACTACCTTGTATCTTGTTGCTGTGCTCAGTCTTGCCATGGAGTATGATCTGTGACATGAAGCTTTCTTTCACAACTTCACCTTGTTGGCCGAGTTTGACTGTTCCTCACCCAGTTTTAAGCCTCCTACAAAGCTGTTTCTGTTTGAGTTAGTGTTTCAGCATACTGCACTTATGAAACTGATGATCATTAGCACCTGCTTGGTATAATTGAGTAATCATATACCTGACTCTAATCCTACAAAATCCTTGACCTTGTGGAAATGTAATAATTGATGCTGCTTTGAAGCCAAAGGGTAGTCACACCAGATATTGATTTTTCTTATGTTCGCTTTGTTTGCATTTCTAAATTGATAAAAAAAAGCAATTAAAATATATATTCTTGAAAACATTATTACTTGACAGCATTTATTCACACCTGTCTAAAATTTTTGTACAGTACAGTAACACATATATAGTAATTGTTTTCATACAGTGCACTGTTAATTACATGCTTCATTCTGAATACTTTGCGCAATCTACTTTCTACCCTGTGTTGTGTATTCCATACTGCACAATTAATATTTCACATAAAGTACTGCAAGTACACAGTTTAAAAAAAAAAAATTCACATGTACTGCAAGAACAAAATTTGCAACGTGTGTGTGTGTCTTATGTTATGGAGGTTGATGTACTAAAATACAAAAAAAAAAAAAAAGTACACATTCATATTACTAACAAAAAACGTACTGCAGTATCATTATTAGTCTTTCCACCGATGAAATATTATTCCTAAAGAAGGTGTCCTGTCACTCCAAATGTGAAGACGGTAATCCAAGCAACTCATCAAAACTGCAAAGAAAATTGGGTGTTAGTATGCAATAGATTTTTGAATCACAGAACTTCCTTGATCCCAAACACATTTGTCACTGGTGGTGAGAGATTCATCTACCTGTTGGAAACAGGTAGATGAATCTCCCACATGCACAGAGGTCACAATGGGCTTAATTCCCCCATCAACACAGTCAGTGGTGATAGGGTGATCCCTCCAACATCGCTATTGTGTTCTGTTGGTGGGGAGCCTTCCCTGCCGGCAGACCAAAATGATCACTGCTGGCGAATATAGCTGCCTGCAGTAATTGCATGCCAAAATTCGACAGGCTGATTGTACTGAAGTCAATCAATGGGTCAGCTTTAGTACACCCAGCCTGCCCAAAGATGGATTTAATTAATCTACAAAAATGATCGACAATGGATTGCTTTTCAGAAAGGTGTCAAAGGCTGCCATCTATGGGAACAAGCCATAACCCTTTAACCTCCCTGGCGGTCTGATTATGTCAGTATTTTTGAATGTCAAAGCGGTACATTGTTTTGCATGGAAAGTTGTTTTATATTGTAGGCCTGTAATTCTTAGGAATAACTCACTTAAATCTGTCCAAACAAAAGTCTAGTAAAAACACAAAATCAGAAATTATAATAAATAATTATAAAAAATAATATTATAATAATAAATTTAATTCAGTAATGTAATCAAACCAAAAACATTGAAATTTGTCCAAACAAGGGTGCTATATTACTAGACACTGCATATTGGTTTAGTAAACCTCCCGGGTATGAAACATTTTGAAACATGGGACTGCACAAAGTCCGACGTTACAATCAGGACAATGGAACCTGGTTTCCTTTCTGATTTTCTTTCCACTGTCATCTCGCTTCGAGCAACAAACAACGCACATCCTTGTAGGTGCTGCTGAGTTTCTCGGTTGGTGGGATGTAGTCCATGAAGTGACGACCAGTCAGGTGTTCCGGGTTGACAACACCAACAACACAGCGACCTCTATTCACAGCTATTGATGGTGCTTGGTGGTTCACAAAGATACGTTTGGCAATTTTCCAAATGAAGTCAGAATGAATCACAGGCTTGCCACTCTTTTTTTTGGGCAGAATGTAGGCATTCCACAAGCATTGCTCAAGAAGATGCCTGAAGATCTTCTTGTAGTACTTCTTTTGCTGTTTCCTCATTGCTGGGACTGGTAGAATGTCATTGCTTGGTCGGCTCTGTCGACACCTCCCAAGGTGTTATTGTAGTCTATCACTACTTGTGGCTTCATGATTTCTTTCCCACCTTTTGTGTGTACCATAACAGTGGAGGTATTATGAATTGTAGTTATTAGGCACGCATCTTTCTTGTCACGCCATCGCAGTGCCATCATTTTGCCTTTCTGCCAGGCAACCATTTTTCCAGTCTTCAGCTTCTTGTTGCCAAACATTGGCAGCATGTCACTCCGGTGTCACTCCGGTTAGCCCTAATGGTTCCATAGGCATCTGTTTTGTTTTGCAGAAGAAACTCATAAAGTTCAGGAGACGTATAAAAGTTGTCAGTTGTTACGCAATATCCCTGATTTAGCAATGGCTCAATTAGTGAAAGAACGGAAGATGTTGCCATTCCATAGTTGCCTTATTTTGGATTTTCTTCCTTTTCCAGTGTATATGACTGAATTCCAAATGTAGCCAGTTGATGATTTGCATAGCATGTAGGATTTTACGACAAATCGTGCTCTCTTTGATACAATGTATTGTACCCAGCTGAGCCTTCCCTTGTAGGCCATTAGACTTTCATCTATGCTGATATCTCTTTCTGGCACATAGCTCCGTTGGAAATTCTTTAGAATCATTTAAGATACTTCCCAAATTTTCTTAAGTGTTGGTGCAGGATGAGTAGTTTCATCAAATTCTTCATTGTTTTCAAAGTGTAAAACTTTCATGATCAGGGAAAATATGTACTCTGACATGACCTTGCCAAAGAATGGAGTGGCAAGTAATTTATTAGTTGTCCAATACCACTTCTGCAGGGGTTTCCCCACCACTCCCTGAAGTATTATTAGGCCCAGAAATGTCCAATTGTCATCTTTGCTCTCTGGTTCCCACTTTCTGCTTCTTGGAAACTTCAGATGCAGAGTAGTCAATTGTTGCTCTTGGTACCGGTTTTGTAAGGGATTTCTGGCAAAGA